CCCCGCTCCAGGGATTTAGCTCAGTGGTACCACCACCTGCCTCACAAGCACAAGGCCCCGAGTTCAATCCCCTGGTACCCCCCCAAAAAAAACCCCAAAAAACTGGTCTCCAGAAGCAGGATGATAAATAATTTTCAGTTTCTTCTTTCCCACAAGCCCTTGACTTATGATCTCAATTCATTCCAGAGGGCTGGTTGTAAGTCAAGTTGGTCAACTATAGGCTCAGGCTCCTCTCCACAGCCTTTGAAGTCTCTCTCTTGTACACAGGCAGATCTCAGTGTCAGAGAGACACTGGCCCAGGATTTCTCGGTTAACCCCACACAGGAAAGGATGTTGTCATGTTCCTTCCAGAACTCTTCAAGGGTTAAATCTGTATCTGAGACCTTCTGGAAGCACAAGTGGCTGACATTCACATAGTAACTGGAAGACTCTGTTGGTAAATTAAAACTAAGACTCCAGTTGTAACCCAAATCGTTCCTATGTCAGGCCAGTCCTAACTCAAGGGTCCGCTGTACTTAGTCTTTTCTAGCCTGTTCACATAATAATAGTGTATTCATTTTCTAATTAAAAGAATAAGCAGGAAGTTATTTGTAGAAACACTCATGAGATCACTTCCTAGCAGAACACTGGGAAGAGTAGGGGCCTTGGGAGCACCTAACCTTGCTTCTCGTTCCAGCTATGACATTTAACCCACTTCCCTGACCCTCAGTTTCCTCATTTGTAAGGTAAATTACCAGTGGACAGCTCACTGGCTTGCTCAGAACACAAGCTGGAAAACATGTGAAAAAAAATGGCACAACGTGGATGGTCCCTAAGGTGGGCAGCTGAGATGCTGGAGAGGGAAGGACGAAGCGGGGTACGCTGTCCTCTCAGGCAGATGCTCTGAGCTGAGGGTTATTGACACTACCCCCGTGTCCTTCCTGAAGGCACCAATCTATATTAGCAGGAAAAAAATAGAAGGTCAGGATGTAGTCTTCGGGGTTGGCATCAGACCTGCACATGAATGCAAACATCTAGCTAAAAGGGAGTAGAATTGGAAAGGAAGCTGTGTGAATTTAAAACAAGCTGTGCAAGACCAAGAGAAGGTGAACGCATTTGGAAATAAAGATGCCTTCTCTGTCTGCTTCACAGCATCGCCACCACCACCACCTGCAGGTCGTCAGGTCCATGGCAGGATTTTCGTGGTGTCTGGATCTGGGATTCAGGGACAGGTGGGAACAGAAAGGAACCGCCTCCCTGTAAGAGCCCCAAGGCTCTTCTCATTGTCATGTTCTAGGTGAGAGGTTGCATGGCCAGCCCCTGTATTCTTGATTCTTGGAATGTGAGACTCAGCTATTCTCGACCCTGAAAAGTTGCAGCCTGCAAACCCCAGCAGACAACCAAATGAGAGATCAGAACTATAAACCCATTTCCTAGATGCTCAACAGGAAAATGGCCCACACACCAGGCCTGGATGCTCCCTAAAAGTGTGAAAAGACAGGATGGATGGAGTGGCTTCTGAGCTTGCACCCGGAACCTCGATGTCTGCATATTTATCCGAGACCTTTGAAGCCTGGTTTTACCATTCACCTGTGCCTGCCCCAGCTCCTAAGGCAGATTTAGGAGCTCAGTAAGACTAACTGACCGTATTAGTGTGGCCCCTGCTCTGACCGAGCCAACTCACACACAGGCAGACAGAGCAACATAAATCACGGCAAATAAATAGTCTCAGTGGAAGGGAGAGGTGTTCTGCGAAACCAGAACCCAGGCTCAGTGCCCAAAGCGGCAGCCCTCTCACTTGGCAATACCTACAGCACACTGAGAGAGAAGACTCGTTTTGCTGGCTGAAAAAGTTAAGTGTGATTCGCTTGATTTCCAAGTATTATAACATCCCCTTAAAAAATTCAGCTGCAGGCTGGAGTCCAAAGCTCAGCAGAGTATGTTATAACATACTCTCATCCACTTAGCACCAACACTGGGGCAGCCAATGCTGAGTCCACTCCAGCTTGGTAGAGGGCTCAGATCTGATGGCTCGGGAGAATCATATGAGTTCTGGATGAATTCTTGGGGTCTACGCTTCCACTGTGTAAATAACTTACACACGCTATTGCCTGTGTGCGTGATGTGTACACAAGCACATGGCCACTGCTGTGACAGCCAACCATGCTCCACACAGAGCTGGATCCCAGGCCCGCCACGCTGCCGATGCTGTTTGCCTTTCTCTCCATCTGCTCCACTTCCCAAACCTCTGAGTTCCAAGCTGTTTGGACTTTTGGGGAAACATTTATCAAAATTTCTTCCAAAACCTCTGCTCTCCTTCTTTCTCCTGCCCTCCTCCTTAAAGCTATATTCCACCTAAAACTCTGATAGAAGTGCATGGAGCTGCTTTGCAGGCTGCTCAGCTTAGAAGCCAAGCTGGATCTGAATAAATCCAAGGCTGGGTCTGAGAAGCAGCAAATTCATCTGCAGCAGGTGGCAGCAAAAGCCATCTCCCCAGCCATGCGCCATCCCATAAGTCACTGCTGTGTCTCATCCCGGCAGTTCCAGGGCATGAATCATTCACTATGCTGGCCACGGGCCAGCTCCAGGCAGAATCCCGAACCAGAGTGTGCTGGATCTGATGATCTCATCTCATCCGCCCAGCAGGTACAAGACCAAGAATTCCCGCCCGGGAGCTGTTTGGAGAAAATATTGCATTTTGAGTCTGAGAGATAATTTGCATCTTTGTTTAAACTAAATTTGTTTGAGTTTTTTTCTGAAGTGCTTTCAAATTTAACATTTCTGTTGGCCCCAAACAATCACTTGGAGCCAGGTAGAAGGGCTAACAAGGAGAAGGCCAGACAGGCAGCAGCAGCAAGATGAAAATAAAACCCAATCCCCTGATGACCTCTACACCAAAAATAGGCTTCCAGTGACTCGCATATTTATTCCAAAGGACATTGCCCATGTCTGCTTTTTTAATTTAGCTAGGTGAATGTAGCTAAGCTAGTGAATTTGCCCATCTATGTAATATAAAAAGACAGAGTGTTTTGTGATGATGTCACTTAGCTCAGTAATTTTTGAGACCATCTGTCACCTAGAACAACTGCAAGGGGGGGTGCATTTCAAGTTGCATTCTGTTTCCCATAGCTAAGGTCAGCTGTAGAGTCAAAGCAGTTGGTGAGACTGCAAAGAAATTAACAAGCCTGCTAATCTTCAGAAGCAGAATGAATGGGAAAAAGAGAAGTGAAGAAAAGATCATCTCCTTCATTGACAGCCATTCACGGACCACATATGAAGCAAACATCTGCTCTGTGCTAGGGACAAGAGGGAGGGAAAGGAGAGAGAAAAGAGGGCTCCTGGAGTCCCCAGTCTTTTGAGGGATACAGGAGGGGTTGTGGGAATGTCACAAAATAAATGTTTCTAAAAATGCCCTAACTTCAGAAGGTTCTCTGCTAGCCACAGGAGAGGATGGGGTGGGGGACTCTAATTGAATATCAAGAGTTTGCACAGTGGGAATCTCCAGAGAGCTGGGCTCTAAGGGTGAGTGGGTGTCAACCAAGGACAGAGAGGCTCCAGAGGGAAGACTGTCCCAACTAAAGAATCAGAAAGGTCCCCTGGGCCTGTGGGAGGGAGGGGAGAGCAGGGGGAAAGACTGAAGGAAGACAGAGCAGCTACTGGAGAATCTGAGGCAAGATGGACCGCCCCAAAAAGGAAACATCTCCCTGCTGAGGAGGGTAGCCCTGCAGGCCCTGGAGGCAATAGTGTGGACTTCACTCTTTCGTGATGTAAGAGTTTGACTAAAGGGTGAGGCAAGAACAGGGAGGAAGGGTCTGAGTGTTCAGATCTGCAATGTGAAACAGTCCTTCTGGCTGTCAGGACAGGGCTTGAGTGTCGAGGGTAGAAGCTAGTTTGGGGACTGCTGGTGATGGCTTTGCCTGGGGTGGCAGGATGGAGTCAGGAGAGGTAAATGAATGAGAGTGCCGTGTTGGAGGTGCAACTAACCAGGCTCAACACAGCTTGTGCTGCCCAGTGAGGGGCAAGAAAGGAGGCTTCGAACTCTTGGTTTCTGGGCTTGCACTGCTCGATAGACAAGCCACTGTAGTGAGTAGGGACCACCACAGGATAACCAGGTGCAAGCAGGAGGTCCTTAGCTTGGTTTTGTGTATATTGATTGGGAGATGCCTTTAAAACAGTCAAGTGGTGAAGCCAGATAGTTGTGTTTGGATGTTTAGGTTAATAATTTTAATTAACAATAGTTGATATTTATTGAGAGTTCAATATGTGGATTTATAACAGTGTTCATTCTAGTGGGATGGATTCTATGTATGTCTACACTAACTACTAAATAAATTATAGAGCTTTTAATAATGGAAGTAAAGTATTTAATGGTATTTAAAAATTGAGGTAAATCTGCATAAACCAACTTGGATAAGCCATCAAGATACATGATTAAGCATAAAAGCAAGATGCCAGAAAATGTGCATAAAATATCCCATTAGTATGAGGAAAAAACAGGGACATATATAGCCTGAATACCACTGGACGAATACACAAATGGTAACAGTTGTTACTTTTAGGGGAGTGAGGCTGACATTTGAATGGACAATTTACTTTTTGAAATCATAGCTCTTACAAAAATGACATGATGGTTAGATTAGTGTCAACTTGATTGGCTTGGGAGCCACTGAGGAAGGGGGATTGTGGGGCCCACTTCTGGGTGGGTCACAGAGGCATGGCCATGGGTATTACATCTGGTTCTTCCCCTTCCTCTCCTTATTACTGCTATTCTGCTCTGCTTCCTGACCAACAAGAACTAAGCATCTTTGTGCCTCTGCACCCTTCCACCATGATGTTCCGGCCTTGGAGCCAGCAAACCATGGGCTGAATCTTTCGAACCAGAGCTAAACTGAACCTCTCCTCCTTTGGTTTGTAGGTTTTGTCTATGGTGTTCCAGTGATGAGAAAACTAATGTAAACAGTAGCCAGAGAACCAAAGAACCCAACCTATTTGTATAAGGACTTCCCATAAAACATCATCTCATGGCTTTGTTCAACTGTTATTAAATTCCACCTACTTGGGTGGAATAGCACCAAGATACCCACTTACTTCTTTAGATCAGGAAGAATTACATTTCCCTTCCCTGGTTTCTGGAGGTGTCTATGCAAAGCCTTATAGCTACTCCCATCACGCCTTCTCAGTTACTCTTAGATTATGAACTCCTGGGGCCGGGACCATTTCTTTAATCTTTATATCCCAGGCACTACATTCAGTGCATGATAATAAACAGACTCTTGACGACTTAGTAAATGCTCAAACCCAAGACAGCCTACTCACCTATTTCTCTCTGTACAAGGTGTGATCAAAATATATGGTGAATGCTTAAATATTTAAAAAAGAAGTGTGTTCAAAGCAAAAGGGTATAGTCTGAGGGAGATTCATGATACTGCATTTTCACTGCAGTGATTGTTTAAAAAATTTAAACACTTGCCTTATTTTTCAATCATACCTCATATTGAATAGTTTAACCATACATTCAACAGTTCAATGTATAGAACTGATCAACCACCAATCAGCAGGGCTGATTATAACCAGAACTGTATAAATGTCACAGCTCCAAAACATACTACTCTGTTAAGATTTATAGGAATTTTGATTGTTAGACCTTGATTCTAAGAAGGCATGTTTTCCCTTTATAAAAATCCAAAGGAAAAATTGTGATCAGTCTCAAGCTAATAAAAACAAGACAGAAAATTAAGACTTCACCGGAATGTTTCCATAACATATGTGTGTGTGTGTGTGTGTGTGTATATATGTATGTGTGTGTATATATATATATATATATAT